TGTTGTGGATTTTGGATAAATTCTGAAATGTAATGGAGATGACCCTTAAGGTGTCCATGTCCAGATTAAATGAGTTCACTGTGAACTGTGGCTTAAATTAAAGCCCCTTATTTTGCTTTTATTTGTTAATTTATTTAATAAGTATTTCTTGATTGAATGGTCATTATATGCCTTGAGCAAAATTTATGGGTTTTGCTCTCTGTTTTCCTGCTTCAGGAATATAGTTTTTAAACTTCAGTATGAGCTGATGTTTGATGATAGTTTTTATCATCCTCAAAGTATTCAGTCCAAGAATGAAAACGTACAGTTATGTAAGAATTCTATCAGCCAGAGACCACTTCACTGAATCATAGAAAATTAACTTTAAAAACTTAATGTGATGTGTACTATACACATTCCTAAGTGGTGGCAAATGTCAAAGTTGAAGAAGCATGTCACTTCTAAGAATATGTGGAGAGAACTAAAAGAGTCAGCACAGCATAAGCCAGAGCTACATTAAAGCTTTATTTCATTACTTTTAGCTTGTGCTCTAGGAATTCATTGTTCACTTGGGACCCTGCCCAAGGGAGTTTATTACTGTAAATATTTGAACAATATTTTAAGATCTGAAATTAGCTTTCCCAAAATGTGTTTTGAGGGTTTTTTTTTTCTTTTTTTAAGTCAGAGGGTAGAGAAATGCTGAATTGAACAGGTCTCATCACTATAGGACTTGTCAGAGCCTTTAATATGCCAGTGCACATCATACATTTCCCAGAAGGAGAAATAGCATAAGATATCTCAACTTCCATGAACATTGATACTTTCCCTGGAGCATTTTGAGGACTAGTGTTCCATAAAATAGTATGGAAATCAATGCTTTAAACCACAGTGCATCTTAGTGTGCAGAATCTGAGGACAGGAGTGTGGAGTGCCCTTGGTATATTTTAAATTTCAATGAAAGAATAGGACGAATAGTGAATTTAGGGGTAATTGCATTCCCTAACTTAGGTGAGATCCATGTATCTAAAGTGAAGATGAATGCTGAACAATAATCAAACAAATTAGGGCTGTCTAGACAACCAGTCTATCCAATTCAGGACAAATTGAAGTTAAATGTTAGTTTTTATCCCTTTATCATTTGAGACAACACTGTGTTTGAGCTTATCAAGAGGATTAGAAGATTTTGCATTTTCAAAAGCAGAGCATTATTTCTGAAAGGAAGCAGAAAATACAGATGAATATCCAGCTAGATAGATGGATGGATAGATGGATAGATAGGAATGGTTGTATATACCAAGTAAATGTGTATGCAGATGATATTCTCTGTTTGTTTGTTTTTGCTAAAAAGTGCAGTACTGGTTCAAAGACCAGAAAATGTACTAGTAGTATTTAGAAACTGCTGACTTTTAATATTTCTGTGTACCAGGTGGCAATGTGTGCTAAGAAAAAAAAAACAGCATAACAGGGACAGATGATAATATCACTTGTCTATATTGACAGTAGGGTCACTGGACTCTTTTTTTTTTTTTTGTGAGGAATACACTACCTTTCAAGGTTTGTTCTAGTGAGGAAGTGGAGACACTAGATCATTTGTTGTATAAGGAAAACCAGAAATTTAACTCAAAAGGGTGACATGAGTGAAATGGATCAATTTCTTTTTTTTATTTTCTGAAATAGAGCATTGTGAATGTGCTTAAAGAGTTAAGGTAAAGAAAAAACCCTTGGTGAGGTAAAGAAGGCAGGAATAATTCTGAAGCTAGGTTCTACAGGATACTTGAGATTTATATCCCAGGAAGCAAAGCACTATCTCCCTGAAGTCTTTATTGAAGCAAGTATATATTTAAAAAGTATACTTTTTAAAAGTATATTGTGTTGATTATGCTATAACAGTTGTCCCATTTTTCCCCTTTATCCCCCTCTACCCTACACCCCACTCCCACCCACATTTCCCTGCTTAGTTCATGCCCATGGGTTGTACATATAAGTTCTTTGGCTTCTCCATTTCCTATACTATTCTTAACCTCCCCCTGTCTATTTTGTACCTACCAATTATGCTTCTTATTCCCTCTACCTTTTCCGTCTTTCTTCCCTCTCCCTCTCCCTGCTGATAACCCTCAATGTAATATCCACTTATGTAATTCTGTCCCTGTTCTAGTTGTTTGCTTAGTTGGTTTTTGTTTTTGTTTTTGTTTTTGTTTTTTTAGGGTCAGTTGATGATAGTTGTGAGTTTGTTGTCATTTTATTGTTCATAGTTTTGATCTTCTTTTTCTGAGATAAGTCCCTTTAACATTTCATATAATAAGGGCTTGGTGATGATGAACGCCTTTAACTTGACCTTCTCTGGGAAGCACTTTATCTGCCCTTCCATTCTAAATGATAGCTTTGCTGGATAGAATAATCTTGGATGTAGGTCCTTGCTTTTCATGACTTTGAAGACTTCTTGCCAGCCCTTTCTTGCTTGAAAGGTTTCTTTTGAGAAATCAACTGATAGTCTCATGGGAACTCACTTGTAGGTAACTGTCTCCTTTTCTCTTGCTGCTTTTAAGATTCTCTCCTTATCTTTAATTTTGGGTAATTGAATTATGATGTGTCTTGAGTTTTTCTTTTATTCTCATCCCAGGACATGCTTATTGATTTTAGAGATACAAGAAAGGAGGGAGAGAAAAAGGGAGAGAAACATTGATGTGAGAGAGAAACATTGATCAGCTGCCTCCTGTATGTGCCCTGACTGGGGACCGAACTCACAGCCTAGGCATGTACCCTGAATGGGAATCAAACCTGTGATTACTCAGTTTATGGGGCAATGCTCCAAACAACTGAGCCACACAGCCAGGGCCATTGCAGATGTTATTAACTCCTTCTTTGGTTAAATCATTTCCTGTACCATTTCTATGGGGGACAGTAGCCATCTCAGGACACTGGAAGCAGTGCAGAATCTGTGTGAATACAGTTTTCATGGGCAGCGGCTTTAAGAAGCTGCAACTTGGTTTGGAGTTGCCATGGCAACCCCAATGCTGGCTGCCTACTCTCCCCCAGGCTCTCCTGATATAATAACCAGGACCACCATTGCCTGAACTCTCAAACGAGGTGTGCTCTTTGCAGACTTGCTTTTTTTTAAACCTCACTAATAAATCCATTAACCCACCTGATTGTGGTTTCTGTAAAATTCAAATGATTGAAGAGAGAGATATAAGGAGAGAAATTGTATTGTTTAAAAATCATAATCCCTATTTAAAACACTTAAATTGCAAAATTATTAAAAATTTGCCTTGCTATGAGCTGTTATTTTCCTATTCTCAGGTTTTTGCATTTTGAATTTAGTCAGATCCTTTATCCCATACCACATACATAATTATCTCAAAATGACAATACCAATACTAACACCAATGAAATGGTTACTAAACAAAATGTTTGCAGTTCTTTTTTGTTTTTAAGATATATCATTAGGCATGACCTATCAAATTACCAAGTTGAAAAGTCACTTAGAATAGCTCATTACCTCCACTGCTTTTATACATATTTAGTTACTATTTGTATCACTTTACTAATCTTATCTCTGGTGTTGTTCTTTTTCCTCTTTCACCCTAATGTTCTAACTAACCATTTTTTTCTCCTTGAAATATTTTTATCTCTGTAGTCTGCTTCATATTTTTTGTAATAGGAATATAAAGATAACTAGGTATAAAATATCAATAGAGTACAAAAAATGTAGATTTAAAAACAAGTATGTACACACATATATTTGCTTACTCTGTGAACCGAGAGGGCCTAGAAGCAATGATACCCCAAGTAACAATGGGGCACACGTAGAGCCCAGATCTTGGTTTCTAATAGAAGGAACCAAGGCTCATGGGAGAAATGGCTGATTATAGGAGGAGAGAGACAAGATGAGGCTGGAATATCTTGTAATACCAGAAATTAAGGAAGTACACAGACACATATATACAAAATGATGGGAGCATTTGAAAGCAACACAGGAGACAATTAAAAGAGCTCTCAGTGACCAAAGATGGAAGAATTTGAGCAACAAAATAAACAACATGGTATTGGATTATAACCCAAAGTATAAAACAGCTATTTATGAGTCCATATTGATATAAACACATGATTGAATGAATGAATGAATAAATAAATAAATAAATGGGGGAAAAGAGACAAATCTCCTGAGCAGAAGAATTCAAAATAATTTATGTCCATACTTTATCCTCAAGGAACTGGGACATAACTCCCGACTTCTTTTTTTAAATTTTATTTTTCAATTACAGTTCATATTCAATATTATTTCATATTAGTTTCAGGTGTATTGCATAATGATTAGATAATCATATACTTAACAAAGCAGTCAGTCCCCCTGATATTCCCAGTCCCCATCTGGCACCATACATAGTTATTACAATATTATTGACTATATTTCCTATGCTGTACCCTATATCCCTGGGACTATTTTGTGACTACCAATTTGTAGTTTTTAATTCCTTTACCTTCTTCACCCAGCCCCCAAAGCTCCTCTGGCAACCATCAGTCTGTTCTCCGTATCTTCTAAAGTGTAGATTGTACATAGACCTCTGTTCAAAGAGTATAGCATGGAAGGGTTGGGTGGAGTAGCTTTCACAGTAGAGAAACCTGGAAAACACTAACTCTGCCAGTTGGTCAAGATTAACATCAGTGAGGGGGGAGGGCAGAGACAAATGTATTTGGAAAAATAAATTAATTAATTTAAAAAAAAAAGTTTAACATCAGTGAAAGTAATGTTGATAGCATGCACCTTTGATATAATGTTAATCCACAACATTATAATGTAATGTTGTAATGAAAGTAATATTTTATATATATATATATATATATGCTAGATTATAAAGTTAATCACAGTGTAGTCAGAATATACTAAAAACACAGAAAAATCAATGGATTCTGTATGATGCCCTGCATTAATTTTATGTGTAGACCTGGTTAAATCTTAGATGTTTCACGTTTAGATATTTATATGTTCCTCAATTTTGTTTCCCTTTTTTTCCTTTTAGGATTATCTGCTGCTAAACTGTTAGCTGAACATGAAGTTAATGTTTTGGTTTTAGAAGCCCGGGACAGAGTTGGAGGTAGAACATACACTGTAAGAGTAAGTGATTTAAATACTTACATATAATATCTTACATAAATTAGAAGCAGGGTCATTGGAAGACACAGATCTAGAAGAGATCTCAAGAATTCATGCAGTGAAGCCATTGGGCCTCCATAGCCCTAAACTCCTCCATCACATAAGTATCCTTTCTTTTCAATATGCACTCACCAAAAGTGTGATAGTCTCTGACCCTCAGGACTTTACATTCTAATGAAGAACACAAATGTGAACAAATAACTTTAGCACAGTGTCATAATTTCTGTATTAGAGACCGAAATAGAGGATGAAGTGTCTCAGAGTGGGGTTACAGTTTGACTGGATTCAAAGTTAACCATACACCCATGACACAAGTGCACTTAGTATAGGTTTGTTGTTTATTTATCCACTAATTCACAACTTAAAAGAAGAGTAGCTACAGTAATGAGAAACAAATGTAGCATATTTTTGCATAACTTTTTCCTTGGTCTTTTTTCCCTTAATGATGTGCTGCTACCAGAGACACTTTTTGCTAAGGCAGAGTCAGCTAGACACGACAAGAAATGGTTTTCAATACATCACAGCATTTTTTTAAATTAATTTATGTTTTATTTATTTTTTCAAATATATTTGTCTCTGCCTACCCCCCACCACTTTCCCTTGCCCCCCTCCCCCTGTCCCTCAATCCTTCCCCTTCGGTTTTGTCCATGAGTCCTTGCTATATGTTCCTTGACTTTCCCCTTCCTTTCCTTTCCTCCCGCCCACCCCTCCCTCCTTCCCTCCTGTCTCTGTTGGTTTCATTTCCTTTGATTGTTGCTGGTCTTATTTTCCTTGCATCTTTGTATTGTTGGTTAGGTTCCGCATCTAGGTGAGATCATATGGTATTTGTCTTTCGCTCCCTGGCTTATTTTGCTTAGCATAATGCTCTCTAGTTCCATCCATGCTGTCGCGAAGCTTAGTAGTTCTTCTTTTCTTTCTGCTGTGTAGTATTCCATTGTGTAAGTGTACCATAATTTTTTGATCCAATCAACTACTTATGGGCATTTAGGTTGCTTCCAACACTTGGCTATTGTAAATTGTGCTGCTATGAACATTGGGGTGCATAGGTTCTTTTGAATTGGCGTTTTGGGATTCTTAGGGTATAGTCCCAGTAGGGGAATCACTGGATCAAAAGGCAGTTCCATTTTCAGCTTTTTGAGGACATTCCACACTGCTTTCCACAGTGGCTGCCCCAGTCTGCATTCCCACCAAGAGTGGACTAGGGTTCCCTTTTCTCCACAGCCTTGCCAGCACCTGTTGTTTGTTGATCTGTTTAAGATGGCCATTCTTAACGGTGTGAGGTGGTACCTCATGGTGGTTTTGATCTGCATTTCTCTGATGGCTAGTGATGTTGAGCATCCTTTCAAATGTCTCCGGGCCCTCTGTATCTCTTCCTTGGAAAACCGTCTGCCCATGTCCTTTGCCCATTTTTTTGATTGGATCATTTGTCTTCTTGGAGGGGAGTCGAGTGAGTTCTTTACATATCTTGGAGATCAAACCTCTATCTGATGTATCATTAGCAAATATATTTTCCCATATGGTTCGCTCCCTTTCCATTTTGCTGATGTTTTCTTTAGCCGTGCAGAAGCTTCTTATTTTGATGAGGTCCCACTTGTTTATTCTTTCCTTTATGTCCCTTGCTTTAGGAGACATATTAGTGAAAAAGTTGCTGCATGTGATGTCTGAGAGTTTCCTGCCAATGTTCTCCTCTAGGACTATTATGGTGTTGCGACTTATATTTAAGTCTTTTATCCATCTTGAGTTTATTTTTGTGTATGGTGTCAGCTGATGATCCAATTTCAATTTTTTGCATGTAGCCGTCCAGCTCTCCCAACACCATTTGTTGAAGAGGCTGTTATTGCTCCATTTTATACTTCTGCCCCCTTTGTCAAATATTAGTTGCCCATATAGACCTGGGTTTATTTCTGGGCTTTCTATTCTGTTCCACTGGTCCATGGGTCTGTTCTTGTGCCAGTACCAGATTGTTTTGAGTATAGTGGTTTTGTAGTAGAGTTTGATGTCCGGTATTGTGATCCCTCCTACTTTGTTTTTCTTTCTCAAAATTGCTGTGGCTATTCGGGGTCACTTATGGTTCCATATAAATTTTTGAAATGTCTGTTCTATTTCTGTGAAATATATCATTGGTATCTTAATAGGGATTGCGTTGAATCTATAAATTGCTTTGTGTAGTATGGACATTTTGATGATATTAATTCTTCTAATCCATGAGCATGGTATATGCTTCCATTAATTTGTGTCTTCCTTAATTTCTTTCTTTAATGTTGTATAGTTTTCTGTGTACAGGTATTTTACCTCCTTGGTTAAATTTATTCCTAGGTACTTTATTATTATTATTGCTATATTGAATGGTATTTTTTTCTGATTTCTTCTTCTTCTATTTCATTGCTGGTGTACAAAAATGCCTTTGATTTCTGAATATTGACTTTGTATACTGCTGTTTTGCCAACTTCACTTATTAGGTTGAGGAGGTTTTTGGTGGAGTCTATAGAGTGTTCTAGGTACACTATCATGTCATCTGCAAACAATGACAGTTTTACTTCCTCCTTTCCTATTTGGATGGCTTTTATTTCTTTTTCTTGACTGGCCGCTGTGGCTAGGACTTCCAATATGATGTTGAAAAGAAGTGGTGAAAGAGGACATCCTTGTCATGTTCCCGATCTTAGTGGGAAAGCTTTTAGTTTTTGCCCATTAAGTATGATGTTAGCATCACAGCTTTTTATATGGCATGCCTTGTTTTATTTGTGTTTTGCTTTGTAGTGCTTTGCAGACATTGTTTTTTCTGTTTTGTTTTCTTTTATTTTTATCTTTTTACAAATTGTAGGTATGATTTTCCATCAGCAGAAAGTTTATGGCTTGCTCACGGCTCGTTGGTGCTTAGCATTTTTTAGCAATACAGTATTTTAAAATTACAGTATGTACATTGTTTTTTAGACATAAGGCTATTACACACTTAATACACTACAGTATAGTAAAACATAATTTTTATATGCACTGAGATAAAAAAAATCATGTAAGTCCCTTTATTAGATATTTGCTTTTTGCTGCAGTCTGGGACCAAACCTGTTGTCTCTCCAAGGTTTGCCTGTGCTTGGGATTATATCACCATTCTAGAAAAATGCGCACTAATTATTGATTAGTGCTATTCAAGGAAATGGTTGCAGGTGGTTGAGTCTGTGGGAGCTGATGAAAGTATACAGTGGAATGACATAGGGTGGGAAGGAAATAAGGCCAACGATGGAAGTTTGGGGAGCATGCAGATTTAAGGGAGGAGGAGGCAGAGGAGCCAGAGAGAAGCAGTAGAGGACCAGAGTAGAACAGTGCCATGCAAATCAGTAAAGAGGAAGGTATGATAAACAGTCAAATACTATCAGCATTTGATATACAATGAAGACTGAAAAGACCCTTGTGTTTGGCAGTTAGAAGGTCATTTATGAGATTCTTTGTTAGAGCACGCAAATATTAAAGTATTAAAGGCTGGGGATTGGCTATAAGGACAAAACTAAATTGGTGAAGTGACTGGAAGGAGAGGAAGCATCTAATTAGAAGATGTATCAGACTTAGAACAGAGTGGCTTATACCATAATAATAAGAATGCAATACAATCATTCAGTTATTTTACATAAGAAGTCTGGTGGTAGGTAGTCCAGGGTAGTGCAGGGGTAAAACTTTGTCATCAAGACTATGCTCTTTTAGTTTTTCTGTTCATTCTTTATATGTTGGCTTATTGCCACTGGTAACCAGATGGATGCTGCATCTTTAAGCATCAAGTCTTCATTTAAGGCAGGAAAGAGCATGAAGAGGTGGCCAACTTATCTGCCACTAAGTTTTTCCTTTACCCCAAGACCCCAGCAGGCATTTGCTTGAGTCCAGTTGGTCAGAGTTGGGGTACTTAGCTATCCTTAGCTGCTAGGAAGCCTGGGAAAGTAAGTATTTAACATTTTCAGGATGCATAATAAAAGCAGGCATGGGAAAGAGAATATGGATGGATATGGAATAGCCAAACAGCAACATCTAAACTAAGATATTATTCCAGCCATTTTAGTCACACCATGCTATGCTTCCCCCTGTCATTTGCTTCCTACCTTTTTAGATGTACAGGGATGTATGATGGGCCTATTTTCATTTTGTTTAGCTCTAAGAGTGTTCTACAGCCTTGGTATTCAAAGTGCCCTATAGGCTGGCAGATTCAGAATCACCTTGGAGCCTGATAGAAATGCAGAATCTCAGGACCTATCCTAGACCTGCTGAAGCTGAATCTGCACTTTGCCAGGAACATTACAGAAGTGCTGCTCTATGATGTATATTTATTTGCTTGCTTCCTTGCTTTAAATTATTGTAAATCCAGAATAATTGTATCTGGAGAATTTCTGAGTACTTCCTCAGGTGTAGTACACTGGGAAGCTATTGGTCTGGGAGTGAGGAAACTGGGATTCTAGTCCCTGAACTGGCTGGACACACTGTCTTACCTTGGGTAAATCTTATTAGTACTTTATGTCTCATTTTTCTCATCTGAGCATAGAAATTCAATTTAAATGTACTTGAAACTCCCTTCCAACTCAAATTCTAATTGAAGGCAGATGTTTGTAGTTCAAAAGAAAGATTGCATATTCTGCCTGTACAACCTCATTAGATATGATTCTCCTGTCATTTTCTGGAAAATATTTCTTCATTTTGGATATAGTTATTAAGTTGTCCGTTAGCCCTACTTTTCTTATCTCTAAAACCTTTTGGTTATTAAATTCAAGCATCAGTCATGTTGCAGATTTTCAGTTAAGAACAAATTTCTTTGTATAAGGGAAATGAGAATTCTAATATGTTATTGCCCCAGGCTGCTTTTTCATGCTGCATAATTTACATATGTCTACACTAAACAGGAACTATTGTGTATTGATCATGATATTATAACTCCTCTTAGGTATATGAGAAAGGAACTCTGAAATGCTTGGAAACTCGAATTTAAC